AGTCAACGTAGGCCTCCTTTACTTCCTATGTTTTAATCCGTGCTACATTGTTTTTGCATTTTATTTGAACTGTGGACTTTCTTTTCTGTACAATGCGCCTCCTTTCACTCTTTGTGTCTTTTTGTATTAACGTGTTTTTTTTTTAAATTACGTGCCACTGGGAAAGTATCTCATACAGGTCGTTCCTTGTTACAGTATTATGAAATGTTGGCTCTCTCAATGAGGTCACTTCTCTCCATTGTAGCGTTCACATTTCTGGTGAATAAACTGGCTCCTTCTGAAAAGGACTTCGCTGGATGAACGAAGAACAAACGAAGCCTAAGATATGCTGAGAAAACAATAGCAATAATGGTCGTACTTAGTTGCTCCCAGCATGCCCTGCTTCCGTGGTCCTCCGTGACTCATAAAGTGATAAAGGAGGCAGCGGGATGCCGGCTGACTTTCAGCATAATACGAGGAAGCTTTTACAAAGGTCTAACAAAGAGATAAAACATTTAGGACTTTACAAAGAGTAGTATAAGCAGATTCACATTGGCTTTTGACAGATAGAGAAGGATGCCTGCGAGTTCCAATGCCTTGTGTTCTGGCCAAGTGCTGAGATAACGTCTAGTAACTGCAAAGAAAGCAATACAGTATGTTCGGACAATGAGATGGAAGAGCAGAGTTAAAGGTCCAGTAAACCTGTATTCAGGGCTGGATTTCCCACAAGGCCAACCGTGGCCCGGCCTCGGGGCAGCAGGGAGTAGAGGGGCAGCAGGGGTGTGGAATTCCTATCTCCCAATGCCCGGGACATGCAGTTCCGGTCGGGTAGTTGTTTTCTACATTTAATGGGCACAAATTACCACAGGCACCCTCCAATATCTTATGGAAAGTCTTCTAAGAAGAGTGAAGGCTGTAATTTTCATTACGGTTGGGGGGCAACTCCATATTATTGCCCACGGTTATGTAATGGGATATCCAACAAACTCATATAGCTGTGATGATCAGGTGTGCAGGTTTAACATGTATATGTATATATGTGTCGCCATCTTGTTCTTGGGTTCACTCCAGTGCCCCCAGAACTGTGACCAAGCTATCACCAACTGCTCACAGTCAACTACCAATGACTGGGATCCTGATCCTGTAACAAAGGCTCCAGACTATATCATCATTGTGCAGCCAGTGAATGAATGACATTCAGTACATTTGGTTGTGAATCTTTAATATCAATGCATTGAGAAATATCAACATTGTGATTGTAGATGACTATAAACCTCCATTTTACCCAGATTATGCCTGGTGAGTGCTGCATTTATTCCAGTCACTTGTGTACCTTTCAAGATGATGAAAACACAAGGACCGCACACGATCTGGGATCAGTGGGACATTACCACTCCTTAGATGAAATTAAACTGACATCATATGCAGATGGAATCTCGTCCCTTTGATCTGCAGATGAATGAAACATTGTTAGATTCTTTACTATCTACTCATTACATAATTAGGTATAAAGGTAACAATGTTATTTTGTATCTCTCTATCTCCCTCTGTACAATGGTTTTATACAATGTTACTTTGCATCTCCCTATCTCCCTCTGATCAATGTTTATTTACAATGTTACTTTGTATCTCTCTATCTCCCTCTGATCAATGTTTATTTACAATGTTACTTTGTATCTCTCTCTATCTCCCTCTGATCAATGTTTATAAACAATGTTACTTTGTATCTCTCTCTATCTCCCTCTGATCAATGTTTATAAACAATGTTACTTTGTATCTCTCTATCTCCTTTTGATCAATGTTAAAGGAGAACTATGAGATGAGTGATTTCCACTCAGTTCTAGCCGACCTGTGACAGTGAGACTGTCACAAGTCGGCTCAGTAGATCGGGAGGTGAGTGAACAGATGCTCTCTGCCGTGACAGGGGAGGGGCTGGATTCCCCCCTCCCCGCTCCGATCCGCCAGCGCTGACTGGCGGAACGGACGGGGGAGGGTACAGCTGGCTCTGCCTCTAGATAGGCAGAGACAGCTGTCAATCCCGCAGCTGGGCGGATCTCAACATCGATGTCGGGATCCGCTCCGGCTGCGGCGTCTCAGTATACCGTGAGCTGTAGCTCGCGGTATACTGAGCTTAGGGTAACGGGAGGACGCTAGTTTGTGTCCTCCCGTTACCCTAAGGAGAACTATGGGGAAAAACACTGACCCCATAGTTCTCCTTTAATAAACAATGTTACTTTGTATCTCTCTATCTCCTGTCTGAAGTCTGCAAGACTGACAGTTACAGACATGATTGGATTTGTAGTTAAAGCACAGCTGGAGGGCTGGAGTTGCCCACCCCTGTGTTAGGGTTTAGATATACTCTATGAATATGATTTGCAAAAAAATAATTGATGGGAAATGTATTGGTGCCAATATATTTGGCATCCTTCGTTCTGTACAAGAGACAACAAGGTCTCAGTAGAGGTGAGACACACCACCTATGAGTCTAACACTAACTGCTGATTGAAGAGCTCAAGCTCTGACTCAGCAGGGGGCGTGCCTGACCTCGGCAGAGAGCCCACTGCTTCCACACAGACAGCAAGGGTCCTTCTCTGCAGTATGCTGGCAGAGACAGGCTTTCCTAGTTTGCCTTGATATACCTGGAATGTATTTAGCTGATTTAAACTGAACATTCAGTTGAGCTTTAGAGACATCCCTACAGCGGTCTTCAAAATACCATCAGCATTCAATAACTCCAGCCTGAATGGGTTCACCTAAACGATCGCTCCAACCAGCACTGAGAATTTTGGTGTGTTATTGACCTCTGCAGTGTCAGGCTGGTGTTCCATCACTGCCATCTCAGCCACTGTCAATACATTTTGTTCAATCACGTGACACAGAACAGCCCACCGACAATCAGTTCCGTCCAGTCGTTCCAATGAAAGCTGGTTTTTGATTGGTTGTTATCAGTTACCTCGCACGTTGCTTCTTTTCTAAGTATTTTTTTATGGTCTGAGCAATGTGGCAGATGCAGCCGCGTAGTCACCGAGCTTTCCATATGCCGATAACACGGAACTAGGCAAATAATTAGGAGACAACGTTTAGATAAATGAAGATGGAGTGTTCTAATCTTAGCACAATTAAAATGTTATTTCTGCTTTTTAACAAGCTCAACAAACACACCTGGCTCCACACATCTGCCTACACACTGCCGGGGAAAGAACGGCGTCTTCTTTCCAAGCCAGGCTCCGACTCTGCTACTTAAAGAGGAAAGACCGGTCATTAGAAAAGAACATTTCCTGTGACCTCCTCAGAAGTCTATATACATTAACCAGATTAAAAATAATTTATAAAGTTAATGCATTGGGCTAAAAGCATGCTATCCATGAGTCTAGTGCATGCTAGGTGCACAATGCAATGTAGTGTGTGCTAGGGGCATTGGAGTGCTGCATTGCCATTTATTCTGAATGAATTATTTGTAACACCGCACGGCAACGCAATGCACAGTATAGCGGTATTGCACGTTGCTGCACACTGCCTGCCCGCCGGGAGGGCGGGGGGCTATTGGGGGCTATTTAGAATTAATGGCAATGCAGCACATCTAACAAGTAATACATTGCAATGTGTGATAGCGTGAGCATACACACTTAAAGGAGAACTATGAGGTGAGTGCTTTTCACTCACCTCATGGTTCTAGCCAACCTGTGATAATGAGACTGTCACAGGTCAGCTCAGTAGATCGGGAAGTAAACTATGGGGAAAAGCCTTGACCCCATAGTTCTCCTTTAAGAGAAACAAACATGTCTGCCATTTGTTTTAACCACCAACGGAATTTTACATCTATTCAGCAGGTCTTGTGATCATCCCCTTCCCCCCAACCTTGCCAGATACAATACACAGGCAGTGGCGTCATGCTGGGGGTGCGGCCTGCACCCGTGTAACACCATTGAAGCGGTGACACCAAAATGACTGATGTCACCCCCTCTAAAAAGTCGGGCACTCGGTCATGGCATACCCCATCCCGCTGGGTGGACTTCCCCTTCTCCCCCTGCCGGCGTCCATCACAAAGATGGCCGCCAGCAGGCATCAACTAGATGGCCGCGCATGCGCGATGACGTCACGGCGGGATGTCACCCGGTCTCCGCTCCAGGTGACACCCGGCCTCGGAACGCCCCCGTACACAGACCCTGAATCTCACTACAACCTCCAGTTAAAGCTGAACTCCAGGCCAACAGCTACATGCACATATGAAATACATATAAGGGAGCCGATTTACCTGACAAGGGATTTGTATTTCTGTCTACCCAGTACTGAGATTTACACAGCTGTGCCACACAGCACAGCCCTGTCTAGAAGGGAGGGGCTCTGCTTCAGTTTTACTTTCTCTTATAGGTCTCCCTGCCCCTACCCTTTGAGTGGAGAATGAAAGGAGAAGCAGCAGAGTGAGCTGTCCTCCTGTCAGCATGGCTGCTTGCACTGCAGAACACCTGATCGGCTCCTCGTGCTGCTTCTCCCTATCCCCGCCTGAGCCCTGCTGTACAGGGACTGCAAGCGGATCATATCAGGTCAAATTGAAGTACTTGCGCTGCTTACATTTAACAAAATACATCTAAAGAAGTATTCATGAATACTGAACTGGAATAATTTGTGTCTTTTGCACCTGCCTAGAGTTCAGCTTTTAGGACTCCGGCCCGTTTCAGGACCTGTGATTGGACAATAAAGGAGTTGCCGCATACCGCTGAGACATCACTCTGCTCTCAGCAAGCTCTCAGTGTTAGGATTGGCAGCACCGTGCACTGGCAGCAGAGGTCACTTAGAACCCTGTGCTGGCGTCTCTTCTCCCTGTGTAAGGTCCACTGCTTTTTGAATGGCACAAAGCTCATATAAAAACACATTTCGGCACTCCAGATATACGGGGCATGCTGTGCTTCCTGTTTAGCAGTGCAGTACGGTGGTTGTGCTTTGCTGCTCTGCTTGTCTTTTTTTTTCAATTTGGCAATGTCTTAAAAAAACATGACGATGAGTGTATTTGTATGTTTCAGATCGCCATGAAGTGATCACGAAGGAGATTCTGGAGCTGGACCCGTGGGAGAACCAATGGAACGTGGTTTGCACCAGGGCTCCCATGCACGATTCCTATGACGTCTGCCTTGTGGCCCTTCTAAACCCGCGAGACCTCCTCCCGCCTCCCCGGGACCTAATGGAGAGGTGACCTCTCATCAGATCAATGCATCATGGCAATTTACAGGCATCGCCCCCGGTGGTCCTCATTATCAAAGTGACTGAAAAGGGGATGTTATTGCCTATAGCACAGCCACAGTGGCGCTGAGGTCCTGGGTTTAAATCTCAGCCTATCACTACACTATCTGCATGGAGTTTGCATGATCCCCCTGTGCTTGTGTGGGTTGGCCCTGCATGTAAGATTAGATTGTAAGCTCCTCGGGGGCAGGGACTGATGTGAATGTGTAGTGTGTAAAATGTCAGCGCTATATAAATAGCTGGAATAATATTATATAGCAAGAAAGCATTCTCTGGGCAATACAGACAGTTCCCCTTTCAGGCATTTGGATCAGTGGGGTCATGTGTGAGGCTTACTGGCGTGTTCTTTAGATGTCATGAAGTATTAGAGCAGATGGTTTGCAGGGAGAATTTTTCACTACAGAGGAGTTATGGAGATGTAAATTGCTAACGTGCAATGCAAATACCGCTGCGATCAAAGCGCACCTGTCGTTCCCAGTACACAGATTTGTCCCCGTCATAGTCTGGGGGCTGCAGTGCTATAGGAGGAAAGGATGACTTCCCTAGGCTTAGGAAACAATAGAGAACCAGGTACAGCAACAGGGGATTATGGGTAAGGACGGATTGGTGGCAGTCATCATGGTCGTGGAATAGTGACAATACTTGCTGATATTCTCTATGAAGAATGAACTTGCCAAGTCTTGGCAATCTGTTCTTATTTAATAAAGGGCAAGGCTGGTTCCTCCTTTTCCTGATCCCCCACTGACTCCTCCCCTCCTTTTCCTGATCCCCCACTGACTCCTCCCCTCCTTTTCCTGATTCCCCCACTGACTCCTCCCCTCCTTTTCCTGATCCCCCACTGACTCCTTCCCTCCTTTTCCTGATCCCCCACTTTATGCTTCCCTCCTTGTCCTGATCCCCCACTGACTCCTTCCCTCCTTTTCCTGATCCCCCACTGACTCCTCCCCTCCTTTTCCTGATCCCCCACTGACTTCTTCCCTCCTTTTCCTGATCCACCACTGTCTTCTTCCCTCCTTGTCCTGATCTACCACTGTCTCCTCCCCTCCTTGTCCTGATACCCCACTGACTCATCCCCTCCTTTTCCTGATCCCCCACTGACTCCTCCCCTCCTTGTCCTGATCCCCCACTGTCTCCTCCCCTCCTTGTCCTGATCTACCACTGTCTCCTAGGTCCCCACTGGCTCCTCCCTTCCTTTTTTTCTTCCCCCACTCCTTTTTTTGTTCCCCCATTGGCTCCTCCTCTCCTTTTTTTGTTCCCCCACTGGCTCCTCCCCTCCTTTTCTTGGTCCCCTATTGACTACTCCTCTCCTTTTCTTGATTCCCCATCTGGCTTTTCCCTCCTTTTCTCAGTCCCCCACTGTCTCCTCCTTTCTTTTTTTGGTCCCCCACTAGCTCCTCTCTCCTTTTTTTGTTCCCCCACTGTCATGTTGCTCCCTCACTGCCCCACCCTCTCCCCCTACTGACTCCTCCCTGCCTCCTGATCTCCTACTGGCTCCTCCCCCCAATAATATATTAATTGCATTTTTACCTGGACCCCCTCAAGCTACGCTTCTTGCTTGTCACATATGCCTACTATGCTCCTTCAACCTTCACATACAAATAAAGAAGTTGGACTGTTGGGGTCCATTTTCTTTTCCTGTTCAATGTTGATTGTAAGTTACAGATGCCATCCTGTGCTACATTTCTGTTCGCCGTGTTTTTCTTGTAGCACCAAGTACAGCTGGATGTCATGTTAGGGTTGCCACCTTTTCTTCAAGCGAAACCCGAACACTTTTTTTTGGATGAATAAGTTGTGGCTTATTCATATGTAAATAGCGGTGCCCATTCATATGTAAACATCACAGTTGACGTAGCCCCTATCTTAATTTTGGTTGCCCCCGTCTGCCTGACATCTTGTGTCCGGGTTTCTGCTGCCATGAAACCCGGACACCGCATTCAAAACCTGGACTGTGCGGGGGAATCCTGGACAGGTGGCAACCCTATGTCATATGTTCTTGTCACTTCCTGAAATAAACTCAAAGTATAAAACAATATTATGTTCCTTCTGTAAACTAATAATCTCCCCCTCCCCTACAAATGGAGATAAACAAAGGCCGACATGTTTGATGCCCAGCCTGGGTGACAACCATGGCTCCCTCCACTGATACAGTGGATGAGTGAGGACAGCCACCCAGCAACAGGTAGAGTGTTATTTGCAGGAGGTTTACCAAGTGAAAATTAAAGGCCAAGGGACCTTCCAACCCTCTGAGTTCTGGAGTCAACACTATTCCAAATTATCACATTTTTTTTTACACTATTTGGTATTTGGGACAGAAATAAATTGCATACATAAAATTGTTGTGAGCCAATCAGGGGCGTAACTAGAAATCACAGGGCCTCTTAGCAAAATTTGGTATGGGGCCCTGTGATTTCTAGCTATGCCCTTGCAGAGCCCACCTGATATCACAAACAGCCCACCTGAGAGTGACCCTGCAGAGCCCGCCATATACTCTCTATGGTGGGCGCTGCAGGGTCTCAGGTGTGCTGCACATCTCTTACCTGTCAGCCCCGATCCACGGGCCCCCCTGTGCCCCAGGCCCCATAGCGGCCGCCTGGGTCGCTATGGTGATTGTTACCCCACTGGAGCCAATACTGTTGCAGTGAGTTCACTGTATTTGTTAGCAACATTTTTATGATAATTTTGCATGCTGTGGACTCCAGAACTCAGAGGGTTGGAAGGTCCCCTGGCCTTTTTTGTGATATACACCAATCAGCCATAACATTATGACCACCCGCCTAATATTGAGTAGGTCCCCCTTTTGCCACCATAACAGCCCTGACCCGTCGAGCCATGGATTCCACTAGACTTCTGAAGTTATGCCGTGGTATCTGGAATCAAGCCGTCAGTAGCAGATCCTATAAGTTGCGAGGTGGGGCCTGCTTCATTCCCCACATGCATCAATGAGCCTTGGCCACCCATGACCCTGTTGCAGATTCACCGGTTTTCCTTCCTTGGACCACTTTTGGTAGTTCCTGACCACTGTGTTTATATCACCTAGTGCGGTGAATATGTGGTAGCAGAACACCTCTTGTTCCAGGTACAAGCAGTACCTACCGTAATCCACGGAGGTATATAAGAGGTCAATTGACGATAAACGTATTTTATATCAGCAACGTATATAAAGAAATGAGTCTGGAAACACACATTTCTATCACGGTGACCACATTCCTATAGGCTGCATCTCTGCACAGCTGTGAGGAGACTCTATGATCAGACCGGAGTATTTCCCACGGGAAGAATACATTTAGGAAGTGAGCTACAGAAGTGGCAATATTCCCGGCCTGTCCACTGTGTTCATATCACCTAGTGCGGTGATTATGCAGGAGCAGAGCGCCTCGTGTTCCAGGGACCGGCGGCAAAATGAAGGTTTATTCCGGATGGATCAGAGCTGACATTTCTCATTTGGCCTCCAGAACATTAATTTACTGTTCCCATTTCACCAGCGAAAACCCTTGTCAGGTTAGGGATGTACGTATCGCCGCCTTCACAGAGCCGAGGGCAGCACGGTGCAATCTGATTGTGCAATATCTGTAATATCCTCGTTTTTTATATTTACCGACAACTTTGGAGCGCCAGAGTCATTTCGAAGAATCCTATTTGTATCTGAAGCTTGACGATAAATCTAAAGGAGTCTAAGATCTGTACAATCCAGCTGTAAAGCATGCAGCCAGATTTACTGTGAGACGGAGGCAAGACCTAAATCAGACAAAAATATCAAAATAAAAATGAATAACCAATGAACAGATAGAATAACAAAAGCAGCTGAAATATTTATCTGCAGTCCAGAGAATTCCCCCCTCAGTACCTTTTTCTGCCACTGGATGTCCTCAGTCTGATGGTCAGCATCATTCAACCCACTTTGTTGGAGCCCCAGTTATCCCGGACGAGCCCCCAGCCTGTGACTGGACAGTGAAAGGAGAAGCAGCACAGTGATGTGCTCATCAACTCTTGGGGATATTATGCTGACCCTATGCTGACCACATTCATGGCAATCTCAACCACCGGGAGGCACACAGCAAATGAGTTCAAAAGGTTGTTATTTACACAGCTCTGGTTGATGAATAGCCCATGAACAGGTAGAATAATACAACCAGCTGAAATATTTATCTTCAGTCCAGAGAATCCCCAACCCCCCTGAGTACCTTTTTATGCCACTGGATGTCTATTTACACCAAAAGCAGTCTGATGGCCAGCATCATTCAACTCACTTTCTCTGATTCCAGGTCATCCCGGACCAACTCCCAGCCTGTAACTGGACAATGAAAGGAGAAGCAGCCAAGTAATGTGCTCATCATCTCTTGGGGATATTATGCTGACCACATTCATGGCAATCTCAACCACCGTGAGGCCCACAGCAAATGAGTTCAAAAGGTTGTTATTAACGGGGCTATGGTTGATGAGTAGCCCATGAACAGATAGAACAACAAAAACAGCTGAAAAATTTATCTTCAGTCCAGAGAATCCCCCCTCAGTACCTTTTTATGTCACTAGGTGTCCACAGTCTGATGGACAGCATCATTCTACCCACTTCATCTGAGTCCAGTTCATCCCAGACGAGCCCCCCAGCCTTGTGACTGGACAGTGAAAGGAGAAGCAGCCCAGTGATGTGCTCATCACCTCTTGGAGATATTATGCTGAACTTATCCTGACCACAATTATGGAAATCTCATTGCGATTTCACTACGAGGCACACAGCCAATGAGTTCCAAAGCTTGTTATTTATAGGGCTATGGTTGATGACAGGTGCCCTTCATGGGTGACCTCAAAACGGGAGCCGAGTATGAAGGACAGGATACCTGCAGTAAAGGAATTTCTGGATGATTGCCGTGATATTTCTGGGAATAAGCCAGTGGCGGGGAGGAAAAAAAATTAAGTGTGAAGATTCACAGGAGGAGCATCCTCCGTCCCTGCAAT